TACTTTTTTCAAATGAAGAAATACATGTAAAGTGAGTTCGAATTATATCAAGGAGGTTAGTTACAGCGCCACCTGCCCGCGAGTAGATCAAGCAATAATGTCGATCATTCTGTCAAATACAGATCCCGAGCATTCAAACGGGAATAAATATGAAATGAAAAGGGGAGTTACAAACAAACAAACATACATACATACATGCATACATGTGAAGCTGATAAAAGCGTGTTAATAATAAAAAAGAGGGTGTACTCCAAGTTTAAAGAGTTTGACTACTAGTTCTGTAACAACCACGCCAAGCGCTTCATCCACAATACGATGTTTGGTGCTGTATACTCTCTTGAAATTTCTCCAAAAATCATGCCTCCACTGGCACCAGGTCTGTGGATTTCAACATGTAATCCAGATATAAGACAAAGATCTTCATGAGTCCACACAGATTTTCTGCTGTTAACATTCTAGTGTATCCTAAGGCAATTGATTGCTGCCTTTTTTCTTTTACAGCACAGTGAAAATTGACATAGTTACTCCCAAACAGACGATTCGTTGTAATTTTTGACACTTAGCTTATAAGAAAGTACATATTCAGAAATAAAATATCGAAACATTCATCTCTCCCAAAGTAACTTCACCGTATGTTCTGGTAAATGTCTGCCGGAAAATAACTACTTCCCCGGCTAATACCATGCTGGATATTGAAATATATTCGACAGACATTTATGCAAGATACCTCACAAGTCAGTCTGGTAGATGTTTATCGTTAATCCATCAGTAGGACCATGCTGAAACGCATGCTGATGGTCAGTCCATTTTCATCAAACATCAATGAACAATAAATCATTTTTGGTTGAAATTTCATGTCTTTCTTTACATTCTACAAAAAAAATGTGAGAAAAAACTGGTGGGAAAAGAAGAGATATGTGAGGAAGATGGAAGCAATAAGTAACACTACCAACACGATACAACTTCGCAGTAATTTTAACCCCGCGTATAGATAATAAGTTTTTTATTCCAGTGTGACCATGAAGATGATCAGCAAATAAAATATGTATACGGACATGAACATTTATATCGAGTATTCGCAAAGGCGATAATATCACAATATTTGAGGTAACATCCAACATTCTCAAGCTATTCAGCGATGCTATAAAAGCATTCGCTAATAAAAAGTTCCTTTGGACGTATTATGAGGTAAAGAACTGAAAATATTTACTGGTTCTTAAAATGGATTGACGTGCTACGTGCTACGTCTATAGAATACTTATGAAATATCCGTGTCTATGGTGGAGTATTATTTCAAAAAGTTCTGAATATGTAGTTATGAAAATGGTAAATTTAAACATAAATATATACTGGAAATGACATACAGACTAACTTCTAAACAGAGGTGAAGGCCGCATTGCACTTTGTGAATATTTTATTGCAATTCCACGAAAGTTTTTGTAGGACCCTGTCAGTAAAAAATACAACCGATATGCATTTAAACGAAACCATAAACAAATTATACAACAGAATGGAAAGTTTGTGGCTACACCGTGAAAATGAAAGAATAACTTTATATAGAATAAGTTTGACGGTATCTAAAAACCATAATGAAAGATAGTTACATCGAATGTACCGTACAATCTAGACAAAATACATAATATCGGATCATTTTCCAAGACACTTTCACGCTGTTACGTATCCAACAAATTCGATATTTTCGTAATAAAACCAAAACCAGTGTTGCCAAACCAACAAGGTTGTTTTCCGCGAGGCAAATGTCAAAAATCAGATCGAGAAGCGCGAAACATGAATTCATGGGAACATGAACGCACATTTGAAAAGCAGGTCAATGCAAAAAGTAACAAAAATAAACGGATAGATCAAACCTGCAGGCAAAAATTCAAAAATAGCAATTTTTAACTGACTGGACCGTTTGTTCTTCCGAAAATTCAACTAAGACAATGACATTTCTAGTAGAAACTAAACTGATCTGCTGGGACAAAGTGGCATGGTATAAAAGTCGCAAAAAATTCACAAAAACAAAAAAGCGCAGCAAATGCGTGAATATACTGAAAATAAATATATTGTGCGTATTTTGCTCCTTGTTGGCAACACCGAAACTTTTACGATGGGCGTTAGCATGTCGGCAACTTGCAGAAATCTCAATGAGACAGACATGTTGACGGTCGAAATTTAATGAATTCATTGGAATTTATGTAACGCAATCCGCCGAAAGACATAAGAATTTCAAGAAATATTCGACCGTCGATTACCTTGTTTAGAAAGGACAGTCGAGTGTGTGGTCGTTAACAGTTGTAATTTTATGTTAATTACATTAATTTGTGATAGGTTTCGCCGAGAAATAGAGGATTAGGATACTTTTTATCAGATATTCAACTCGAAATATAATTTTTCTAAAAATATAGTTTCATCAGAAATCCGACAAGTTTCTTTTAAAATCCATATCACATTGATGGATAGCTTTCATTATAAACATTCTATTCAAAAGCCAACTTACATAATAATGGACCGACAAAAGTTCCACAATACCAACTCCCATATCTGGTAATTTGAATATTCCCGAATGGGAAGTATAAGACAGCACCATTACCAATTTGAGACTGAATTTTATTATTATGAAATAAAATTCAATAACTGTGAAATATGAAACTATAAATTAATTAGTTGTGAGTGCAACTATTCGAGTTGAAAGACAAAGGCTTTTTCTAACTCAGCACAGACTTAAACTGTTTTGTTTTCGTTTCAACTGTACGTACACTCAGGCTTGGTATTTAAGGACAGTTGAATCCAGTAATGCATAATGCTTTCGTGTTTCAGTCTAGCACCACTGATGAAACCTATGACAGGTCGAAACAGTTGGATCACAAATGTTTTGTTTTTCGGCTCTAGTTTAAACTATTTATATTTGTTTTACTCAGGGTTGCCTGTCCTTGGTTGAATCACTAGGCAAAGTGCTATATTTTCGAAAGAAAGTAAAAAAAAACTCTTGTAGGCGATTCAAATTGTGAAATAAGGTATATTAAGCATTGAATGTGTGGAATGTAGTTAGTAAAGACACGCCTGAAGAAACCGTTGTATGGCGAAACACGTGTTGCTTTTTTGTAAAACTGTTTAGTGAAAATATCACAGTAAAGTGTTTTTTGAATACGTTAAAAAAAACTCTTCTTTATCACAACAAAGTGCTCAATTACTTCTAATATACTATTCAGCGAATAGGAATCAGAAAGTACCTTGACCAACAATGATGAATGAAGCACTGTAAAGAAAATTCCAATGCGTAATATTAAAGACGTCAATTATATAATGAAGAAGAACCGTAAAAATTGCACAAACATGATTCCTAACTCAAATATGTTATTTCCATCATGGTTAAATCCGGTTACGTCTCGTCCAAATATAGAAATACTTATAAATATTAATTTCCAGAAGGTCGTTCAAAGCACTCGGTAGGCGATTATCGGAAATAAATTCAAATTTAACCCGAATAAAACAAGGTACCGAAAGGATCAGCTGTAAATGATGATTCATCTACTCACTCATTACATGGTAGCAGTAGTTAATGTATAATATCGTCGATGGAATGAAGAATGAAACTACATTTTAACAATGATTGAAATAGGCGTAAGCAGAGCATACGCTGGAAGCGGAGTTGTTAGAATATCCCTACCGGGTAAGGTGTCACCCGTGGAGGTAAGAGTCCTCTTGAATGACACATCACTCTATAAAGTGGGTGTACCCGTCCCGAAAGGATGTGTGATTCTGAACCCACTCAATGTCACTAAAGATTTTTCATGGTTCAAACATCCGAAACTGTTTGGAAATTGCGCAAAACATGATGCGTACAACAAAAAAAACTCAAACAGTCCGAAATAGCCTCGGATACTTGGTTAAACCAGAACGCATATTGAGGAGATCGCTGTGCCACCTATCGTATATATGAAGAGATGAAGACCAGAAAATACTGTTGATCATGTCCATTTCGTTATGTAGCGTATCCTTGTAGTCAGTTAAAATGTTATCTAACCTCAGTCATCAATTATTTAAATCAAATAAATAAAAAAACATCCTAGAAGTAGCCCTAACAAATTTCCACATGAATGCGCATAAGCAACAGAAACAGTTCTCAACAGTTTAGCCTCAAGAACAAGAACGATTCGAGACGGTTCAAGACAGTTTAGGATCATTTCGCAGTCGAAACCAGAACAGAAGATTCATCAAACCTAACTTATCCTCAACAAACCAGAACGCTCTATAAAAACTGCGCATGATCCTGATGCCCTAGAACCTGAATTTCGTAGAGCCAGAACAAACTTTAAGAAAATCTTAGAGATAACGGGCGCCTCTCTTCGTAGAAAACCTTATCAGGGGAATGCGTAGATCTGCCGTGATGGACCTCCTTTCCCTAGCTACTCCTGGTACCCTCAATGGACCATGAAGTAACTGAATAATCGGCATTGAATCTACAGACGACATGGAAGTCGATTAAGCGACCCCAACTCTTCTTTTTGTAACGTTAGATAAAAATCTAGAGGTTCTCAATTCTTTAACTCTAGATCATGTTGAAAAACCCAGGAGGCTAGTTGGTGCAGCCAAAAAGCGACAAGAGCAGGGTATTTTAGGAATTTGCCGTCTACAAACTTCTTGAGCGCAGAAGTAGAATCTGGAGGTCATCAAAAAGCCCTGCATTGCTGAATCTAGCTTCAGTGAGCAAATTTGAAATGGCAGCAAAAGAAGTGTTAGATTACTTTTCCACGGACTTGAATCCGATACGTGATGTCACTATATAAAGATATATTTTTCAATAACTATATAAAATCGAATGACAATAGCATTACGCCAACAAGGATATAAAGCAACTTCAGCTTAGTTATCATATTTGATGACAACTGAACTTAACTCGGTTAATGAAATTTCATTTTTGAAATTGTGTTCATGATACGTTCCAGAAATGATATTTTAAAGAAAAACAGTTCAAAACGATCAATTTTTATTTTCAGATCCCCGCAGATCTCGACAAGAGTTGGCACATTCCAAGACCCACACTAGCTCGTAGCTCGAAAAGCAGCCAAGGTTCGACGTCTAGTAATAATAGCACACAGGTGAGAAAAAAAATTACATTTCGATAACTCCTAAATAATGGATACTTATTTTATTTGAGTCTACTTTTACTCCCTCTGTATATTTCGCATCAATATCAACCTATTTATTCGTCAAAATCATTCATTTCTGAAAATTATAGATTCCATTTATGGTCGTTTCAATATATCATTAATCTTTTTCAACAAAACCGTACGTATATACCATCAGAGAAATAATATATACAGGCGACGAAAGGTTTATTGAAAATACAGAACAAAAATTACGCGGCATTAATTAACTTGTTAATATTCACGATAAATTATAATAATTACATTATTATAATATCCCGTCGGCACTTGCACACGCTTCGATCGGCCAAGTTCAAGTCCGAAGCATTCCTGAGGTCACGATAATTGATTTTATTCATAATCGCCAGTTTAGATCGGTATTCAATTGTGTACTATATTGACATGCAAAAGTAACCACAAAGAGTACAATGGTCAAAAAAATAGAGTATTATTGGTCAATTATTCACAGTTATGTTACCATCGGCTTTTCCATCGGCTACGATAAAGTTCTAGTTAAATTACGGAAAAAATTGGAAATGAGAACAAAAAAAATGGATCATGGAATGTTCAAACAGCACACAGCGAAAAAATGGAGAAAGTGACAGGAGATATAGATCGATGTAACGTTGACATCCTAGCGTTACAAGAAGAAGGTTCCAGAGGAAAGAGACCATCAAGAATAACACTTTTCTGTACCAAAAATAAGCAGATGACCGCGCTGATGAGATGAGATAAGAACAAGCCTACAAGCCTAATGGTGCTCGCACATGAAGCTGGATATTAACCAAAAGAAAACAGAACGCCTAATGTGCACCAGAACGAAGAAGAACGAGCACGATGAAACTACACATTCGTAAAGGTTTCAAAAACCTTGAAGTAATAGTAAGCGGCAGAAATGAACTGAGCGGCGAAATAACGAAATGGTGCTTTAAAAAAAGACTGCCACATACAAAGCCAAGATAATGTGTCACAAACAAAGATGAGGAGAGGCTAAGAATATTGGAGAGGAAGATTTTACGAAGGATTATGGGTTCATTGCGAGCAGTTTTCACAATCAACAGAATTTTCATCAGTACCATAGGTGTTTGACGACATCTCCCAGTCGTTGTCAATGTCGGCAAAAGTTTCACTCGCTCAACACTTCTGTTTCATTTTGTATTAGGTTTTTCTTTATTCTAACTCGCAATTAAAGGCGTTTGGTACCAAACGAACTGCCTCACTATTCCCTAGATGGAAGAATACATAAATCAACAATATTACCTTTGTTAAGAACTGACAAAACTGTTAAAACGCTCGCATCTCACTTGAATGCTAAATGAATACGTTTTCACAAAACATCGGCGACATTCGCATTGGAGTGGGGAAACTGATGTCGCCGATAGGCAACAAACGCAGCTAACGTGTTAATATAGCGATATGCCTCTCCTTTAACATAAAAGGTCAGATCATTCTTGTAACCTGTGTATTCTATAAAATTACTTTACACAACACACCAGATCTGTGTTACTTCAACTCTATTTCTAGCAAGTTCTACAAACGTTCTTCGTTTTCCAGAGCGCCAGATCAGGTTCACTGCTGCTCACGGCCGCCAACCTAGCCCAAATCCACCAGCAGCAGCAGCAAGACGATCAAAATCGATCCGACATCGACGAAGCCGTCAGCACAAGAAACCAAAACATTCGATACTACCTCCAACAAACTGGCGGCCACGATGACCTCATCACGATGCCAGAGACCGTCCCCAAGAAACCCGATCCGGACGCCGTCTCCGTAGCGAGCAGTATGCACTTTACCGTCGTTAACGTCAACACGAGACAGAGGCCGCCGCAGAGAAGTTTCTGCAGGAAGCATCAGCTGACGATCCTTGTGCTCACCATGTCGGTCCTGTTCACCGTAGGCATCCTGACGGCGATATTATTCTTAGAAAGTGAGTAATTCAAATTTAAATGAAATTCGTAGCAACATTCTGTTTTGGAGCCTCAATAGAAACATTTATTAGTTTTTTGGGATAAGTTGATGATATTTTACAATAGAAAATTTCTAGTGATCTGACACCATCCAAGTAAAAAAAAAGAATCTTATTCATGATTCGAAAAACTATTAAATACAAATTTTAATTCCAACGCAAGGAAATTCAAACAACTGCATTTCATTACAGTTGGAACAACGAAAGAATACCACACTTTTATATTGTAATAAACGTAAAACATTCAATCGGAATATTGAAGAAAAAAATAGCTATACAAACGTGAGTCGTCGGCAATTTGTTATATTTTAAAACCAACTGTTCTTTGACAAAGTTTAAATATTTTTTGTTAACCAAAATTTTGCGTTTTCAATTCTTGTATACTAAGTTAATGATTGTTTTCACAACAAACACTGTGGGCATTTCATGTTCTGCATTAACAGAGTTTTATTTGGAATTGTGAATGGCTTCGACGTTCCACATTCTGGAATATTTTAATTGACAGATATCGGAGTTGAAAAATGGAATATGAAGTATAATGTATTTATGAAATAATTAATGAAGTGCTGACGAATTTTATAAAATTGCCTAAAATCGTAACATGGGGTTACCTTTTAGCGAATTTCGAAAATAATAGCAATTCTCCATTAAAAAAGCAGATTGTTCGAAACAGTAGCCACGTCGTTTCGCTTCTATTAGTTTATTACTTTGTCGGCTCATATCGGATGCACAAATTGTTGCTATATGAATAATATTTCGTTGCCACAACTGTACATAAAATTTGACAAGAAATCTTCTTGTTAAAAAAAAGTTTTCCAGAGTAACGAAAATTCTAAAATAAAATTAAAGGCTAACATGTGACTTAATATACATATAGTGATTTTATTTATTTATTTACAAGACTGATGAATAATAACCATAGTTTGTTGAATGGTATAGTACCTACATAAAATGAGTTTTTATACCATGTCGGTCTACTTGGGACATACAAAATGATATCAGTGAAATGATTTTTGAACAACTGATGTGCCATGATCAAATTTTGAAAAATAAGTCAGTGATGTAATTATCCGATGATCCTTGAGGCATGTTGAAGATATTACATTCTTAACTTCATTATAATTATAAACATCTACTACTAAACCTAATTTATAATTGGCAAATTATTGTGGTTAAATGATCTAGAATTAGTAGTAAATATTAAATCTGTTTTTAACTGTAATTAACTCTTCATACTCCAGTTTAAAATAAGTACCAATATCTGTAAATTATGCAAAATAAAATTTTTAATGGTATATATTTTTTGATAACTTAAAATCAGTAATTTCTATAATTTCAGATACAAATTTTATTGATAAAAAAACACTACATACACTAGTAAATGAAAATATCTAGGGAGTATATTTGTATTTGTAAACCAGATATACTAAATTTCGAAATGTCAGCCTTCATACAGTGTATTGTTCGATTAGAAAGAATCTTCAGTATACAGTTTATTGAACATTGTCCAATTATACGTTTTAATTGGTTATTATTTTCGAAACGTATCGGGGACTAGTTGGCTTTCCTAGACTCGTTGATAAGGCTCATTAACGATCTACCAACTAAGAAGTCATAACGCATTACTGCCAACTACTGCTGAAGATGCTTATCACAGTTATGACTGTCTCTCTGTTTAAAAATTAAAATAGATTGTTTTGATTTTCACCATAAATCGTAATAGCTTCAATTTATTCGTTAATACTTAACAAACTTTTATTTTATAATTCTATTATGTTGTGGATGCCGAACAGTGTAACAAAATAAAATGATTCACAAACATTAAACATTGCTAAATGAATTTGCAAAATAATAATAATAATAATTTCATTTCACAATTACAGATACTGGGACTTTTTTTAGGATTTGTTTATTATGTTTACTTTGGTTTGCTGGTTTATCAATAATTATGCAATAAATTCGAATAATCTATTAAATTGTTAGAGAAATATAAGGAAAATATTAATAATTCTTCAAATTTGAACAAATATGGTAGAACGGTTATAAATAAAAATTCATAACAAAATTCAATGTCGACTACAAAAAATAAATATTATCTCACTGTAGATGGTGAGTGTATTATGAATTTACAAACAACATGTTTTTAGATGAAAATTATAAAATTTGACTGTTGTAGTTTGGGTTACAACTTCAATGACATTTTTTTTGTAAAAACAATCAAAAAGTTTTCCATATGATGCAGACATTTTGGAAGACTCTGCCAGTGTCTTAATGTGTTGATTTTTTGGAACTACTTCACACTCCTAATTTTCCAGAAACATTTTCAAAGAAATTGCAATATATTCGTTCTAGAAATGATATTCCATACTTTTCTAGTTATTTCATGAACTTAAAAATGATTATGAGTGTGAAAAACAGTTTCGAGATAATTAATGAATTGTTTGTTTCGGTATATAGTGTGAGACTTTAAGGTTAGAAGGAATCATTTTCAGCTCTAAATAAACATGAAAAATATGCTGCGAACTCAGAAGCCTAATAAAGATGTTAGTCATAACTTCAACAAGAGTTGTTTGAAAGTTCTGTTTAAGACACCAGACTTCTCAATGCTTCCCTTGAATCATAATACTGTGTAATGATAGGAGTGAAATCACTTATCAACATATTTCTCACATGCTTTGTTCTGATATTTCATTTTATTTTTCAGTGAGAGCCAAGAACCAAAGGTATTGACTGTTGTGAATGGAAAAAAGTACAACGAAACCCACCAGGATGGCATTATTTAGAGATCCATTGACGAATATGAACTGTTTACCAATCGAGAGCAATTTTTCATTTCCAGATTAGCGAAAACACTAATTTTTCTATTAGAAACTAGGAGAACAGTTATGATACTTCCAATATACCGATACCAATTTTATTATTTTAGGGTAGGAAATACCACGACTTTTCTTCAAGTTACTGTATTATTAGAAAGTTAAACTGTTTTTGAACTGCTTGTATGGATCTATTTATTTCCTTTAGCAAATGCATCAAACTTGACATGCGATCTCTAGAATTACCTTTTTCCTAATTAGACAATATTATTTATAAATTTATTTAATCATAAACCTTAGTCAATTTAAAAGAACCATTTTACCAATGGGACCAAATTTGTGGTTGTAAATAGATGTAAGTCGGAGGTTTTACTTTTTTTGTAACTTCAAAAAGTAGTCATTTTTCTTACAGCATAACACTGCCAACTCATTTATTAATAACTGATGATATAAAGAATTCGATATTTTCTACTCAAGTATTGCTGTCGAATCCATACAATGCGATGAAAATAGTTTGGACCGAAATAAATAATCCTGGGATGTTTCATATGCCATAGTTATGAAAAAAAAAATGTGCCAATGATAAAACTGCAGTTTTGGAGTTTCAAAATCTAGTAAAGCCTTAGAATATTATATAACAATGTAGGTATATTTTTACTGTGATATGTCATACATACTGTATAGTAATTTATGTTTTCTTTCGAATTTCTTTGTCGATATCAATGTTGCAGGAAGTTTTCTGTACATTTATGTAGAATTAAATTATTACCGTACTTAAGTGTTCGTCTTTTTTACCTTAAAAACCGTTACAGTATTAAATGCTTCTGTGATGCTATATGTTCCCAGACACCATTAAACAGATATCAAATTTTTACATAATGAAAAATGAGTCTTAAAACTGTTGGGTAGTGTGCAAGAAAACTTATTTATTCACGTTTCACCTACAAAAATTAATAGGTAAAATGGCTTCAGCCGCAGGGCTGTGCCTACAAAATCTAAGGTGTATTCCTGTGATGATCATTTAAATGAAAAGTTTGATAATAAACGTCATTGGTGTGGTCTCTTTTTCTATACCAGGTAGATATTTTTTTTTGCTATTTTCAAAATACCCTGTGCATTTTACCAGCACCCGAAAGGGAAAGATTTTTGATCAACCTAATTAAGTATCTTTTTTTCAAATGTATTAGGTTGTTTCAAAAGTTCTGTCCATTTTAATGTCATGTGTTTATTGTAGCTCAATTACTAAATGGATATATATTCTACTGTGTCGTGGTATATACTGATCGATGGAGAATTTTCTACTCCATATAACGACACTGTTCATTTTTTTCAAATTTTTTTGCCTCTTTTCAGCTCATTACTATATGATGTTGTTAGGCGATTTTCGGTTAATTTTTCTCTATGAACTCAAATTGAACCAAAGCGCTGCCAAAACAGATCAAAAATTAACCAGGCATTTGGCGGTAATAGTGTTAATGAACGCACTGTTCGACGTTGGATTGCAAAATTTCGGTCCGGAGATTTTAGCCTCGAAGATGAGCCCCGAAGTGGTAGACCTACAGTAATTCTGGACGAGGATTTAAGGACCCTAGTGGAGACTGACCCATCACATACGGTGCGTAGGATGGCGGAAGAATTGAGTTTCAGCTCCCATGCGGTTTTTGATGGTTTAAAACGTATTGGAAAGGCCAAAAAGCTCAAAATGTGAGTGCCCCACTATTTGAAAGATTGACAGAAATTGTCACATTTCGGCGCCTGTTCTTTGCTTTTGCACAACCAAAACGATCCTTTTTTAATTAAAAGCTTTTATTTAACTTGACTTGTATGTATGTTAACACATCTTGCAAATTTAATTTGACCCACTTACCAGTATCCGATTGACCTGAAATTTTGCATGCTGGTCCAGAACCGATGACAGTGCATGTTAATCATATAATGTGACCTGATGCTGCTCGCCTCCGTACGAGCAGGGACACGAAATTTTGTATACGCATTCGTTTATGATAGGCAGTTGGTAGGCCCACCATGAAATAGATGCCACATCCAGGGTTGGCTTAAATAAAAAAAATATATTTCTAGAATAAAAATTAAATCAAGCTTTTACTTTTAAATACCTACTTCCCGACTCTAAAAAAAACAATAAATGGTGTAGAGGTTGTAAGAACCCATTTATTTGCATTGTACCACCCTCTAAGTTCCCAGAGTAAGAGGGTCCATCACGTAATGTGAGCAAGAGGCACAAGAGGCATACCATGACTTGTGTAATTTGGTGAGATGGGTGTCATTAGCATTGGTTGGCAACCCATCTAGAAGAAGGAAAATTCCAAAATCAAATCCGGAACGGTGTTTCGTCAGGCTCTACGCTGAAAAAAGAGGCGCATCTTTCTCCAAATTACCACCCAAGTCAAGGTGAGGCTGTGTCGAGGACTGAGTGGCATCAGAGTGTAAAATGATGTTGTGAGCGCACCCTGTTGTATATTAGCTCTTAACCTGCTAAACACAACTCTGGGTGGATTCTATAAGGTATGCCGGAGGAGTGGGTACCTACCTACTTCTATAGAATATAGTTTATCCTAATAATAGTTTTCCCCGTTCCATAAGTTTTTCTGTTGAAGGACTCTCCGTTTTATAGATGGACTTTCGTATTGATCGATAACTATCGATTGAAACTAAAAAATATGATAAAAAACTTTCAAAACAAGCTTTTCTCTCTCTTTCTCTCTCTATTTTAGATGGTACTTGCTCCTATCTTCAGACGCATATGACCAATGCTCCTCCTGTTACGTAACTGGCTGTTACATAACAAAAGTTTCGTCGGGGGACAAAGACTGTCTTGCAGCTTGCAAGCCTGTGTCCGGAATGGTGTGCTACTTCGTGTTTTCGACTAACTCGGCTGGACTACTTTGGTATGTCTGGATATAGCGGTACACGTAGCGTCTACTAGAGTGTCGAACGTTGTCTTGTGTGCTGGGAACTGGGGGATAAAAAGACAGATAGTACGTACATTGGGGTGGAGGGATGGGAAAAAGTAAAAAAATAAAAAGGAGGTCAAAGAAAGGGAACCACTCCTCCCTCCCCTGTTGACTTATAGTTTGATATGATTATATGTCATAAAATAGACGAGAGTTTTGATAATACCGAAATGTAAAGAGCCAAGTACTGTTGACATATTCAAGGGAGCCGGAATACTTTTATGACAAGTTGTTGGTAAATGTCATATCCAGGGATACTGTTAATTGGGCATTCTAGGAACGTGTGTTCCAATGTGTCTAGTAGTCCACACTCGCAATGTGGACTTGAAGAGACGCCAATACGAAATAAATGAGACTAGTCCAACAGTGGCCGGTTTTCATACAGATGAGGCTAGAAACATGTCTTCTGTCCATAGCTGGAATTGTCAGATACCAAGGCCTTTTGGGGAAGTTAGGGTAGATTCTACAATATATCTTACCTTTATTCTGCATCTCTTGTTGCCATTTAGTATAAAATAATGACTTTACAGAATTGAAATTATAATAAAAGCTTGTCACGATGCCTAGAATAAATCTCTACATATAAAAGTGCCGTGAATGCTTAAAATGTGGAACTGTAACCTTAAACAATTTTCTTGCACACATGGGATTTATCGGGTTTGAAATTTATTGCAGTACCTAGTTGATCTGTCAGAATGTTTCTTAATTTAAATTTCATCTGACTGAATATGTAGAGGTTTCTTCTAGGCATCGCGACAAGCTTTTATTATAATTTCAATTCTGTAAAGTCATAAATGAATGTGGTTAATGTGATATAAAAATTTATTATGATCTTTTTAGGGCACTTAAATAAAAGCTTGTTTTAAAAGTTTTTTATCATTATTTTATTTTGGATCAGATCGTCACGTCCCATAGGTGAAAACCCACCAAAAAAAGACCATGCTTACTGTCTGGTGGTCAGCGGCTGGTGTGATTGACTATAACTTTCTGAAATGGGCCAACCATCACAGCAGAGTCCTATTGTGAAGAAATCGACAAAATTTTCCGAAAATTGTGTTAGCAACAGTCAGCACTAGTCAACAGAAGAGAACCGGATCCTGCTCCACGACAACGCAAGTTCTGCCTCACGCACCATACTTCCCAGGCCTCTCGCCAATCGACTACCATCTTTTCAAGCACTTTGATAACTTTCTCACCGGTAGAACTTTCGCCAATCAGAGCCAGAAAAAAATTCGATTGAATTGAATAAATATTCACTGAGATATTTCAGTTCAAAGTAGACTCATAAAAACGGACAAAACTTTTGAAACAACCTAATACTCCAAACAAATTGAGAATTTCAGTAACAGTATACTATCGGGTATTGTACTCCCTATGCCCTGTTTCATGTCCTGATTTTTCATAGAATTCTCTGAATGTAATCGTTTTCTGAGAAGAAAATGTCTGAGAGGAAAATGTCTTTTCAAAACAACTAGTTCCATATGAATACTGAGTTACACGAAAATAATTTTCTCCCCATTCAGATTTTCCTCTTAACCATTCATAAAAACTGGATGACAAAAAGTTATTTTCATGTAATTCAATGTTCATATGAAAGTAGTTATTTTCGGAGGATTATTTTCTTCCAGTTTGTATCTGAAAAAAACCTCATTTGATAATAAAAGCTATTTATTGCAGTTATTTCTTTCTTGCTTTCTTAGGAAGTTTCTCATATGTTTTCTTGAATGATAGAAAAGTAGAAAGGCAAAAAGCTCTTTTTCTCAAAACATTACTGCATATGATTGAGAAAATCAATGCAATCCACTCTTTTGTTGAAAGTCATGAAATTTTGAAAAGTAGCAAAAGTATGATTGCATCAGTTTTTTAGACCTAAGTGAATTTTAAATTAGTTGTTAATTAATAATAAAAGGTGAAGCTGTAACACCTGGCGTAAAATAAACAAGCACTGGAATGGATGTAAATTCTTCAGTTTTTCAGTAACTGTGGAATAAAATTCAAATATTGTTTATGCAGTGACACCTTCACTGCTGTTGGTAAATCAGGTATACCCAAACAAGAGATTTCTGTAAATGCCATCTGAAACCTTATTAAAACAGTTACTAGCTCCATCTAACGGAAATAATCCCAAGTTATTGATACCATGATTCTTCTTATTTTCAGAGCAGGAACCATATATTAGGTTAGAATATTATATTACTTAACCCAACTTTTAAGTATTATAAATGAATATGTTCATTCTTGATGAACTTAAATTTTTTGAATTGATGAACGATTTCAAACAGTCTCAAACAAAAATATTCTATATTTTCAAAAAATCCAAGTTGGAACATCAAAATATTCCAGAATTTGTTCCAGTTCTTCTGAATTTTCATAACAAATAAACTTACCTCAATATCGCCCAAAGTCTGAGTCCACTTGTACTTGTCCAAATCACAGCCATTTCCTTTGTTCGGCAAAATCTTCCCCTTTTCTGATTCATCTTCGTCTTCCTTGATTTTATCTCCGATAGGGGCAGCAGGTTGTGAACTGGACGATGACGGATTTTTCTTTGCGTTTATTTCGGCCTGAAGCTGTTCGGCTTCAGCATCAGTTAGTTCTGTTATTTTGGCAGGCTCAACTCTTTCAGCTTCAGCTTTTTTTGCTGCAGCTGCTTTTGCTCGAGCTTCCCTCTCACGTTTCTCTTTCAGCTCAGCTTCTTGCTTTTCTCTACTTTGTTTTTCATGCTTTCTGAATGTATTCATAACTAGCTGAGGAAACAGAAAAAGTGAACATGAATTAAAGGAAATGTTTTTCAATTTTCAAACTTACCTTCTCCCATTCCCCCTCTTTTCCTCCAGTGAAGAAATCTGTTTTCCTTCCGAGAAAACTGACGAATGTATCGAGAAGCTAGAAGTCAAAAGTTACATTTCTTTTTTACAATGAAACGTTTCTAGTAATATTTACCTGAGAAGCTCCTTCTGGATGATGCTGAGCAATCGAGAGGAACATAGAATCGAAATGTTCAGTTTTGTCACCACTGCCACTCATGTTTGCCGAAAGTTATTAAATACACCAGTAAAGTTCAGAAAATTGGCGAACACCTTTCAAAGGAAAGCGAGATTATTTGTATCAAAAATCAAACCCTAAACCGGATAATCGCTTTAATTATCATATATCGATAAAACACAAAATTCTCAAAACAGTCATATCAAGACCACAGTAAAATGAAGGTAAAATACTAAAACAGTGTCAAAACGTATGACAGTTACTAATTTTGTCTTACGATTATATACGTTGAAAGTATGACCGAAGAAGAATGAGGTATGCGCAGGTACTTTTTTATTCTTTCAAATAAGTGAAGTGGTTCTCCTATATCTCAAATGTTCAAAGTCGAAAATATTCTACAATAAGTAGTCGAATTAACTTTGAATGGCGCCACTCTTGGTTTTCTTGTGAATATTCAGAAAATCCCGACTACAACATAATTATCGATGGTTTTGTGATAGAGTCGGCCAATACTTGTTGAAAATCCATAACGAATTCAGAAAACCCTTTATTGTGAAAAGTCCACTGAACAGTTTTACAAAAACGCAACACATGTTTCCCTAAACAATAGTTTCTTCAAATACGCCTGAAGCGAAACAGGTGTTTAGTTTTTGTAAAACTGCAGTGGAAATCTCACAATAAAGTGTTTATTCAATGGAGTTATTCAATTTGAAGAGTAATGTTTTACTGCATGAGAAACGGATGAATAGGTGAAATGAATTACTTTCACTCACGGAAAGCGCAAGAAACCTCTTCAATATATGAAAACTACGGAAGCGCAGAAAGGGCCATATATTTTTATTATTTGTTTCTTGGAAATTACGACTTTGAATCTCAAAATTTCGACTTTTATCTTGAAATTTCGATTTTTATCTCGAAATTTCGACTTTAATGTCAAAATTTCGACTTTTATCTCGAAATTCCGACTTTAATCTCGTAATTTCGAAATTACGACTTCAAACTCAAAATTTTGACTTTAAAGTCGAAATTTCAAAGTCGAAATGTCGAAATTCAAAGTCGTAATTTCCAAGAAACAAATAATAAAAATATGTGGGCCTTCTGCGCTTCTGTAGAAAACAGCTGACAGGGCTACAAAGCCCTACAAAAACAATTTTGTTTCACCATCAGGCTTAGTAGTTGTGTATTATGAATTAAGTTTAGTTACTTTTGAAGTAGTTTTCACGACATTATTGAATAATATACTAGTTGAAATCATATCATTTCAAAACTGAAACATATGCTGGTTCCCTATTTCAACGCTTCTAGACTGATAGAAAGAAATACCATGGTGTGATTACTTCAACCCCTTCCTACCGATGCGAGATCTCATGGAGGACAGACTTATCACCTTCAGATATATCTGAAGATCATATGTGTATTAAGTCTGTGACGGCAGTAGAAGTTACAAGCAGTAAGCAACAACCGATAAGTTTTATATTATATGTGACCACGGATTGTAGACGAAAGCTATTGAAAATTGGTTCGGAGAAGATTCCCTTTTCACCTAATCTCAAGGTTTTTTACATGATCCATTATAATTTCTTGACCGGATATGTGTTCTACAGTTCAATTCGTTATGTCATTAGAATACTAAATTCCATTGGAGAATCCCAATAAGCAATATGCAACAAGAATTAATTCTTTCGAACTCTTATAATTTATTTTTATCATTCATTCTCCAATTATTTTGTTCCGTGTTGGACCATTTGACTACGAGCAACGAACTTTTCTCAGTACATTTCTTATCTATTATTACTTATACCTTGTAACTTTATATCATTATCACTTAAAAAAAAAAGATGAATATAGGTACTTAACATTTTAGATGGCAATTTTTTTTTATTGTTTGTGATGTCATTATATTCGTTCCAAAATTTGGCATTTCAATTTTATGCATCAGCATTGGCTGGATATTCAGCCGTCCACCACATTCAGCGGTAACACCAGCGGTAATCATTTTTAAAAGTTGGCAGTGGAGGGCACAAACAATGTTTCATGAAATGATAACCAAGCCGCCCTTTCAACGTGTCTGTAGTTAACTTCTTCTTCTCGTTTTCTTTTTGGTTTTTGCTTCCTTGCTGGCGAAGTAGGCCAAATTTTTTCATCACCATTTTTCAATTAAGACTGTCAAAAAAACCGAAAGTTAACATATTATTATGTATATTACTGTAGTTTTTCCCAACACTAAACCGTTATTTTAACAATTCGACACGTGTTTCGATCACCAAGTGATCATCTTCAAAAGGAAGAAACAGTTTGATCTTCCTCTTGATGATGATCTCTTCATGATCGAAACAAGTGTCGAAGTGTTAAAATAACGGTTTGATGTTGGGAAAAAACTCCATATTCATTACTACACTAAAGGTTCTGAACAGTGCATCACAAGTATATTATTATTTATTATGTATTGAAATTAGTAACGAGCATTTTTATTCGTAAATTTAGTCAATTGGTTCTCTCTTCATAATTTATTCTTTCAGATCTGCCAAATTTATTTCAAATTGAAAATGTCTCCCATTTTTGTTGTTAAAACATTAAAACAATGATAAATAAATAAATTAAATAGGTATATCCGGATAAAAGGTGGCATCCCTGATAATATTACAATGGCGTTTGTGTGTGCAGTAGTAATTTTATATATAGTTTTTAATCAATTTAATAACTTACCTCTATAATAAAATCACAAAATATTCCTTGAGCGTGTGTTACATTAGGAAGCTTCTAATAGATAGTAATTATTAAAATAGTTCGTTAAACATATATACCGATATAAGTTGGGTTATGTTAAATTACCTCATGCCTTTGTTATTCAAAAAAAATTAACCAAAGTCATGGCAGAAAACAATACAAATAATACCAGTAACACCTCTGTGATGAGCGAGATATCCTCCATAATTCGCAAATGGGAAGACGAACATAGTCAGCCCAATTATGATCCAATACCAACACTTACCAGGTAAAAACTATGTTTTGAGGCAAATTTGTGCAATGTTAAATAACCATGTTTGTAGGTTGGCTGAGATAGTAGAAGTGGAAACAGAAAACTACCTCAAAATGGATCCAGATCCTTTTGATGAACGACATCCGTCAAGAACGGATCCACAATGCATTCTTGGGCAAATTTTGAAAGCTCTATTCAAAAAGGACAATTTCACTAATAAAGTGCGTAAATGGCTATGTTCAATATTACTTTATAATGAAACTATGCAATAACTATGCTCATTTTCAGCTTATAAATGATTACTTGAGGGATACATATTACTCACGAATGGGTATCATTGGAAAAGATTCTGACCAGTTAAACATTGCTGCGTGTCGTTTGATGCTGGATATCATGCCTGGATTAGATACCACAGTAGTATTTCAGGTATTCCAATGCATTAATTTCACATTTTTGTCAAACTACTTGTCCACCACTTGATTTTTAATTTTCTTGTACTTTATGTGATGGTATCCGCTGATTCGTCATGGAAATTCATAACGTATTCAAGAAACACTGTGATATTTTCACTAGACAGTTAAAAAAATGTAATATTTGCTTTGCTATATAATAGCTTATTCAGGCATGTCTATACTTGAAATAAAATCTTAGTATTTAATGCTTTATATATGGTTTTACAATTTGAAGTACCTCATTTAATTAACTATCAACCTGTTCTATTAAATATAATTCTCCTCAATGATGTCCCTGAAATTATAAACTCGATAACATTCATTGGGTCTGTAGGAAACCCTAATATAATACTGAATCATTTAATTATTATTGAACTGATTGCTCATCTGTCAATGATGGAAGAAATTCAAATGTAATATTTTCAGAATTCCATTTTGCGGAACAAATTACTGTTAAAATGAGTCATTACTCATGATTATAATCTTGAACTTTTTGATTCATATTTCTATTCTTTCAAGATATGTGTTACATTATTTACCTGTTTTGCATATGGGATTTTTCATTAAATAAATTATGTATCATATCATTATTTTAGCCAGAAGCAGACAGCTTGATTCTGCGCCTGATAAAATGGGTAACGAGCTCCATAGAGCCCCTACAGAGTTACGCAACAGGACTCCTGGGTGCTGCCATGGAAATACCGGAAATTGCCACAAAATTCAGAGAACAAAACAGTAAACTGATACCCCTTCTCCTACAGAGGATAAGGAGACTGAAAAATTCCTCAGAATTTGTCAACTATCCCAGTTTTTCCAGACCCTTCGCACATTTATCTTCGATGAGGTCTCCTCCATATAGGGGGGATGGCATTATCAAATCCCCACCTCCTGTCATAAGAAGAGGTGAGTAAAAGTGCAACCATTTTTTAAAATATGAATGGAGAATTGGTGTTTTCAGACCGAGAAAATGGCATTGTGTTCCAGTCCGATAGTGGAAGTGAACAGAGTCCTTCAACAACATCCTTTGGTGAAGTGAGTATATATGTTGAGTTACAAAACTTTGTTAGTGATGAGTTAATCATCAGATCATGACGTCATTGAATGCAATATTCTCTTTGAAAAAGAATTTCCTGATTTTGTTTACATTTTTATGATTTGCTCTGTATCAACTTTTTCCTTTTACAGCTTTTGTAAAAAAAATCCTTCTCAGCATTAACATTATTTATATCTATTTATTTTAAATCTTGATTTATTTTTAAACTTGAACTCTTATCACCAGATCACTATTCAAAATTATCAATAGAACTGAGTATCATCTCCAAGCTTCTCTCCAAAATATCTTTATATGTTCCCAGTCATTCAAATAGACAGGTGCAAACGTTTTACGTTTCTTTTCACAGATTCAATTATTCATACAACAGCTTTATTCCGAGAACTCTTCGATTGGCTAACCCTTTAAATAACCTTCAAATCTTCAATATATCAGTTATCCGCTTTAAAAATCATATTCTTCATCTAGCCATCTAATACTCTCTGCTTGTGTTGTTGCATTGTCTAGTGTTACTTGCCTGTAAGAATTATATTAGTTCATATTGTTATACATTTCAATTTTTTTTAAATATGTCAGTTTCCCGCTTTAAAAACCATATTCTTCACCTAGACATCTAATACTCTCTGCTTGTGTTGTTGTATTGTGTATAAGAATTATGTTCATATTGCTATACATTTTAATTTTTCTTATATAATCTACTCATTATCTTACTTTGAAATTGTATTATTCTTATAATTTAATTTTAATCCACTATATTGCAAGTACTACATAGCACTGTACTACTTAGGGGCGTCCATAAATTACTTGATTTTTAATTTTCTGTCCCTCCCTCCCCCCTGGTGAGATGTCGTGAGATTTTACTCAACCCCCTCCCTCATCCCCCAATCTCACGTGAGATTTTTCAAAATGTGGGTTTCTTACGTAAACACGTTGGATGGTTATTGTAAAAAGAAAAAAAAAATTTGCTTCGTGCTTTTATTTACGGCTAGATAAGACTAGTAGTCAATATTGCTGAGAGTTTAATTATAAGTATAATAAAAATTTAATAATAGAATACTTGAATCGTAACTACTGTGATTAAAAAAAGAATATCTACTCTAATTCAGTGCATGGAGAATCATGTGCGGTCTCAAGAGAGACTATTGGAACCAACATGTCCATATGATTTTCAATAAATTCATCTGCTCCTTCATCTTCGTTCTGATCTTCTTTCGAACGAATTAAATAGTGAATGATCTTAATCGTATTACGATTACTTTAAAATTAAATCTTAAGCATGTTCAATCTGGATTAAATGGACCAAAATAGTATATTTTTTTTTGTTTCAATCAGAAAAAAAAATTGCTTGATATTCGCCGGGACCCCCCTTTCTCCAGCGTAAGATTAGATGAGATTTGACTCGACCCCCTCCCCCCCTTAAACACCTCACGTAATTTATGTACACCCCCTTATATCTGAATTGGGTTATATATATATATAACCGTGTATAAATAAAACTAGATAGGCAACCAAACAACCACAGTCACCATTTATGATAAAAATCATAATGAATTTAAAAATCAATCCACCCTGATTTGTGTTGCGTAACGAAGTGTATAATTGAAAGTTACAAAAGGTATAGAAAAAAAAAAATTTTTTTTTTATTTTAATCAATCAATAAAAAAATCATGATTGTTACCAAAACTGTTTTACAGTGGTACAACTATGAGTTTTCATTAAAATTGTGATGTATTCGACAGGAAAGTTATATTGTTAACTATCGAACCCGTTCTTGTTTTTCATAAACAACTGATTGAACATAAACAATCTGGATATTTATGATTATATTTATAAATACCGAAGTACATATAGAAAACTACTTGAAATTGTGAAAGGAAAATACCTTGACAACAGAATTGACTCCTCAAAAACAACTAGTTCCTCTTGAAAACTTTTCAATATCTACATGATAATAAAATTAAACAACTTGTAGAAGTCATGAAAGACATAAAAAATAAAAGAGCAAGTTACGATGACATCTCATAAAAATTATTGAAAAATCTTCTATAGAAACACTTGAACCTCTTATAACTAAGAGAAGAATCTCTTAGTTCATAGAGGAGTGTTCTTGTCGTTTTAAAAAGTGTCTGACGTTAATAATCCTCTGCACAAAGGTGGCGATTTAGAAGGCCTTTCAAACTTCAGACTTGTTTCTCTTACGCACTTGAGTTATGGAATACCTGTTTGGTATACAGTATTCAAGTTTACTGGAGTCAGTTTTCAAACTGCAAAAAAAACCATAAGATGAATCTATGTGACTGATGCAAGCAGGTTCTTAAAGACAAAGAAATACTAACACATTTCCCTTGTCATGTCAGTGTCGGTCTTGTTTGAAATAACATATCAAGATTTGAGAAAAATGGTGTACAATAATGTACAGTCCTCAGAAAAAACACATTTATTGATAATTATGTGCTATATTATAGTTTGCATCAATTTTACCCAAAGTTTTTTTCCATGAATGCTCTGAAGTGGTCTTGAAATCTGAAGTTATTCTCTATGATTATGTCATGGGATTTATTGCCTGATTCATTTTTGATAACACTTTCATTCAGAGTTATTGGAAAGTTATTAGTACTGCCCCAAAAATATATCATATTAGTTCTTGTGATATTTGAAGATAAAAGATTACATCATTAAACCATTCCTTAGTAGTCTTAATATCTCAATATATGATTTCGGGGAGATCTGAGGTATTATTACTACACCATATGGTGACGCGAATTTGCCCCTTATACTTAACGATTTCATATTATTTATATCCAAAAATTAAATGATGGGACCAATAAAAAACCCCAAAGGAATTCCACTATTTATACTAGCTGCAGTTGGTTTTGAATTTCATCTGTATTCAATAATTGTCAACAAGATTTGATCTTCAGACAATAAAATATACTTTTTATTATTATTATTATGAACTCTTTTTAGGGAAAAGAAAATGAAAGGCTAGCAAAACGCAAGAAGTCAGTTGAAGCTCAGTCTCCCTCGAAACATATGGAAAATTCAGAACTTGTAAGTTCCTTCAGTTCAAAGAAGTAACTTCAAATATAATTGAAATCAAAAAACGAAATTCTGCTAATTGGAATGTATTTTAGGTTACAGATTCTGAGAACCCACCTTCAAGAAAACGCCCGCGAATTGAAGGCAGTCCTATACCGGATCCTGTTTACCTTGGCAGTCCTCATAAAGCTAGTGGAATATTTTCGGAAACCAGCAACTCGTCATGGGCAGAATTGGAAAGCTTCATGATAGGGACTGTTCAAATTTTTCCTCCAACTATCGCTACCAGGCAGATTTTAATACTCAGGTAGGTACGAAATAATAATTGCTCTTTCCTGTCATTATATTTTTTTCATATTTCAGATATTTGACAGCTATGGGAGATTATCAGGAATTCTTGAGTCATGTTTTCGAACAGGGAGCTCTAGAATTGATTTTGTGTTATGTCAACGTTAGGGTTACCAAAGAAGCTAGGTTAGCTTTTGAGGCTTTGAAATACTTAGCAGCTTTACTATGCCACAAAAAATTCTCCATAGAATTTATTCAGTGTAAAGGATTAGAGGTGAGATTTTTTTCAACTAGCAATATTGATATATTTGAGGGATTGGAACTTTTATGAGTATTACATTCTGGCTATTCTCAATTGTTTTTCCTTAACTAAGTATTTCTGTATTTATTTCAAAAATCAAACTCGTTATATAAGGAATATCTATAGAAATGAAAAACATAACAATACAATTAAACCAAAAAAAAACAGTCAAAACATAATTATTTCCAAAAAATTTCTTTAATAGTGAGATGTTATTTTTTTCAATTTGTTTTTGAGTTTCTTTAAAACTTTTGTATTTTTTCAACTGATTTTGATAGCCAATTATAAATAATGATACAAAAGAGTTGATTTGTGGTGTGCAGGCATATAAAAACAAGGATATGATTATTGGGGAGCTAAATAATATAATAAATTACTAAAAAGTTTTTTTTTCAAAAAGCTGATCTTTCCTAAAAATATTATCTTTTTTATTCATGTGAACAATCATTTTATTTTTACCTATCTTGAACACTTTAATTCAAGAGAAAAAAAACTGATTTCATATCTCTACATACCACAAATCTAACTTTTTCTATTATATAAGAAATGTTAAAACCTCTATTATGAATGAAGACACTTTGGTTTAATATTGATTTGCTCGAGCAGTTCATTTGTTTGGTATAATAACAGAGATCTTTATGACCAGTAACCACTTTGTATGAATATATATTCTCATTTTGTGAAGAGATTAAATGTGTAAGTTTTTTGGTATATAACATTTTTAATCAGTCCTAGAAGAAATAATTTAGAATTACATTTTTTTGAAATTCTGTTTTACATTCTTTTTAATGGTCTCAAATACTATTTTGGATAGCAAAACCCGCAGATGGTATCATTTGAAAATATAAATATTTTTCCAAGAAATTAGTTTTACGTAACATCCTAATTTCATTAAATATACCTTTTGGTTGAATAATCATAGCTCTTATTTTCTGAATATTATGTACTTTTCAGTTCATAATATCATCTTTCCAGGTATACCTCAGAGATCTCATACGTGATGAAAATAAAAATCCATCTCTGCACATTTTTCTGAAATATTGTTATCAGAAATATTTCATCATCACGCAACATTTGGTGCACCCTCTATATTTGATTTTTTTAAATTTTATATTGAATACATTGTATCGAATTTCATGTTTATCGATTGTCTGTGTATTATAGGCCTTGCTGGAAGTTCCAAGGCCCTCTATAGCTGCCACTGGTGTTTCTATTTGCCTGTACTACCTTGGCTATTGCGAAGAAGCCATGGAAAGAGTTTGCTTGCTGCCTAAATATGTTGTCAGCAACCTAGTCAAGTACGTTTTTAAAAAGTTTTTATGTGGATTTAGGAACCTGAAATGGTTTACGAATATCATAAATTATATCCATCTCCCATAATTTTTAGATATGCTCTGTGGCTTCTTGAGTGCTCACATGATTCTGGAAGATGCCAAGCAATAATGTTCTTTGGATTGACGTTTCAGTTCAAAGTAATTTTGGAAGAATTCGATTCTCAAGATGGTCTCAGAAAATTACATAATGTGGTGAGTATTTTTTTCTTTTGACTTTAGTCTAAGTAATTCTCTGTATATGAAATTCCTTTTAATTCAAAATGGGTATTAAATCTCATGAAAAAAAAATTGTTTATTAAAGCATAATATATTTCAGCCAAGTAATGTAATACCCTGATATGGGATTCAAAGTTACTGCAACAAAACAGGAGATATTATTTACAGTAGTATAAACAACAAAGTTTGATTAACAGATGTTGAGTATATGAATGATATCTTGCAAAATTGTAAACATTCATAAATGAGCTTAAGGTTTTGGGAAATCAGCAAAAAGAATATATGTTTGTTTTAATAGGATTTACAGAGAGTCCCAGCACAGAGATTTATCAAATTGTAGTTTATTTATCCAGAGTACTGCCGAGTCATTGTTGGGATTCGAGAGAGAATAATAGATGTTTGAGTAATTTGTTCAGGCCACTCGTTAAAAAAAATTGAGAGTTATTGATGAAGTGGAAGAAATCAGTTTAAGTGGGAATTCAAGCTTTGGGTTAAGTTGAAGAAATTCAATAAACTATTGCTTATATTGTTCAACACCCATATACGAAGAAACCATTTATGAGATCGACATTATACTCAATCCACAAATATCAATGATAAATATCAATGATAAATATCGCTTCTTCTCTTCAGAACTAGGTTATTCACATTCAAGAACAGCCTATTTTGCTCTCATAGATCTCCGTATTCGATATGGAATTGCCTACTGGGCAGTTTGCACGGTAGATTTATTTAATATGATTTTCGTGCTTCAAAAAAGGGCTCTATGTTACATAAGCAAAGCAGCTACCCAGGATACGTGCAAGCCTCTTTTTGATAGCACATGGCATCTTGACGGTAGCTGCTTTATTTATTTTGGAATTTGTATGCCTAATAACGAAATATTATTTAACTTGTGTGACTCCTATTTCTGTATACGATACTCGTAGCCACAATAACAACATGGATCCTATTCTCCTTAGTTAGAGACAAAGTAATATGCAATGGGATCAAACTATTCAATCACCTGCCAGCTCAAACTGAAGACATGAGAGCACTTAACACATTCGCTGCGTAAAATAATTAAGGGCTCTACTCCTGTGCGGGGCACGTTTTTTTTTTTTTAAATAAAGTGTTTGGGGCTGAATGCTATTCTAATGTTTTTTTTGTGTGAAAAGCAGTAATTATGGATTTATACAAAAATCAAGCTCGGACACCTGTTGGCGTCCTACGCACAGTACCAGAGTTTCAAGGATATATGCGGTAAAAATGGTTAAGTGGAAAAAAATACAACAAGTAAAAAAAACATTTTTAATCAAAATTAAATTTTATTACATTTGCCTTTTTTGGTCAACATATACAATTTCAGTCCATATTCCGCTTATTTGCTATGTACTGCTGGAACAATAGTCTACCTCGCCACAAAACCATAGATTCAACCAGAGAGAGGTTTTTTCCGGGATAATATAGTTCCTTCATTTTTTTCATTGAAATAATTAATAACTGGTCTAACTTTATTCAGACGGTGGTTTGATTCGGGTTGATTTGGATCCGGATTCGTAGAAAAATGCAAACTCCTGAGCATCACCAAAAATCTATCCCGGCTCATCCGAAAAACATTCGAAATTGAATAGCCGACTGGTCCTCCAATAGTCTTGGAGTTTGTTCAGTTTCACATTGCCCATATGATACACCAAACCAATAAACTTCAGGAGCTCTTCTTCTTTTAGATCTTTCCAATCAGTTATCCTTGACCTTTCATTTTCACCCCTTGACAAAAACAAGTTTTCTGCATACTTATTCGTTTCTGTTATATTTTCAAGAAAACCATTATCAACAAAAAGTCTACCACGTATGGTTTCGCCTCTGTCGGAAGATCAACAAGCATTCGATTGGTTTCAGTAAGAGGAAAATGTTTCATACCGGAACAAATATCTCGTCAACTTGCTTTGTCAGTATTGAATGTTACCTGGTGTTCTTGGTCGATTGTATCTTCTGCCGTATTATCTATGACAAACAGAAAACATCTTTATACAATAAACAAAACAATAAAAACAAACGAAATAAATTATCATAATTTTCCCCTTCACTTTCTGATTCAAGGTCATCATCAGAACTTAGCTCAAAAGTTTCATCTTCGTCATCTGAACAGTCCACTAACTGTAACATGTCATCAACTGTTAGTTTATTTGGATCTCTTATTGCCACTTTACGTCTTTTAACACCTGAAGGACCTGCCAAATTATTGTCTACTTCACTCATATTTAAATAAGCTGTAGAAAGTTTTAAAATTCACGAAATTACGAACCGCCCCGAAATCTTCTTGAACAATACTATTTAAATGTGCGGACTGAAATACAACCACCTCTGTTCAGTGCGGACTGAATACTAACACATTTATTGAGAGAAACACAGTTTATCTAGCTCCTCCACTGAAGACATTCATGGCAGGTGTTGGATCACTATTTTTTTTTGGGCTGTGATTTCATCTAGTTACCTTGCAATGAGAGAAAAAAGATGAATCTCATTCAGTGGTCGATGTCAAAGCTTGGCTTTGTGGAGCCTCGTTTATCCTTGATATTTGTGGTTTGATTATTCAATCAATCCCATAGATGATGTCTTTGCAAGGGGAGATGTTATTGCCTCTTATACTTTTAACCTCATGTTGAACTCGATATAATGAAGGTTGGAAATTCATTTATATGTTTCTTTACATAACAAGCAGCCTCGAAAATATATAGACTGATGACAGTTAAAAATGTTTCATCAATAAATACAGAGAGACACGATTCAGTGTGTTTGACAATAAACATGCTTCTGAGGATACGTTTCTGCAAAATTAGTACTCTTTCAATATTTGTACAATTTCCCCAGCATAACAATCCATATGTTTAGAATTAACACATCCATGATAATACATTTTCAGGGTGGATATTTTGTACAGTTGTAAAATCATATAGTTGAATACTGAAAGCTGTTTAACCAATTTTTCAACATGAGTCTTCCACGTCAACCTTCTATCTAGGTGCAAGCCAAGCAATTTCAGAATCAATAGAACTATGCACAATTTTCTTATAACATTTCAGATAGCAACACTACCAATATTGTTGCAAGATGCCGACACAGGTCAGTTGAATGAAGAACAAGAAGGAGCCTACCGCCAGATAGTGAGACACGTTTGTGTTGCATATCGTCGTTACTTGGAAGCTCATCTTTTCGTGAAAGTAGAGTTGATAAGGAGGTCTCAGCTGAGGCCTAACGAAAGACCCGCACCACCTTTACCATCTCAACCATCTTACAAAGTAAATATCTTCTAAAATCCACTGACTAAACATTTGCAATTATCATAACTATTTTGTAGGCATGTAAATCATCACCTGAAGAGATCCAACAGCAGATCGACATGTTATTTCAAAATATGCCGTACAGGAGTCACTGGGCTCCAATCGACCAGCTTCTCAAACTCGGCGGCATAACTCTTCTCTTGAAGATAATAGCTTTTGCCTACGAATGGAACTACAGTGGTAGAGCTGAAACTGTTAGGAGTGCATTGGATGTACTCGCCATAGCTTGTGTTATGCCCAAAGTTCAGCTTTTGTTTTGCGATAGAGTTGACTTACCGGAAGAGACATTGACAGTTGGTAAGTTTTGTAAAATAATTGTTTTTGCTCATCCAAATATTACCTGTTGCAATGGACTTCTTGTATGTCCGGCTATCAGCATGCTATTTCAAACACAAATTTATATACTGCAAAACGCTTTCTCGAAACAAGCACTTTTCCTAATCACCAGACGCAACGTGAAAACTGAGTTTTCTTCATCTTCTGAAGGCGCCAAGTTGGTTTAGTGGTTGAAAAGTGCTTATCTTAGATTGAATGTGGTATATTTTCTTCGAGTAGGTGCTATGAAACAAACTATATTCATTGAACTGGAACATTGTTTTTTTAGGGACTTGGAACTGTAGAGTTTCATATTTTTGCTGAGGTCATTATATTTTCATTCAGCTTCTTTTATCTTTTTTTTTCTCTTCCTAAAGAGCAGTAGTTATTTTCATAATTTCTAATTCGAGATTCTTTTTGATGTTCTTTGTTTTCTGTTCGACTCTTCTATGACTCTTCATTTTTTTTTAACTATCTCTTGTGCTTATATTTTTGTATGTCTTATCAGACTCGTTTTTTGTCTGTTTATGTAATGCAGCAAAAAGCAATTTCTCAAATGATGAAATACTGCGAGGATTATTGGGGATATAACATTTTTTGAATTATTTATTTCTCGCTGCTGTGTGTTAGAGTCACACATATGATCTATATATATTTTCAATGTGTTATAAATTTCATTTAGGAAATTGTAGTTATAGCAAACTTCTATGGAATAAATTCACACACTTAACTGGGAATCTTTAGCTTGCACAAATTTAGACTTAGTTGTGTTGTTATTTTTTTGATGTGTAATAAATTTAATCAAAATAGCTGTTTTCCTATTTATAAATGAATTAGTGTGTATACGAGATGGGTCAGGGAGTTCTGAATTGTAATAAGTTGTGAATTGGAGATTCATTTAGGGCATATATCAACAACACAAGTAATTAACTTCAATGTAAATTCAAGAAGAACCAGAGTGTTGGAGTTGTTCAAAGTTCCTTACCTTTCTACTAACTATGGCTTAAATGAAACCATCACTAGAATGCTTAGGTTAGCAAATAAGAATAGCAGCTATATTGATTTGCTTGACTCATTCTTGTACTCTTTTAAAAATCAGGTTAAACGTATTGACCTACTGTGAAGAAACTGCTGATTAATAATATTAATAATTAATTGATATTTGTTTTTTGATATTCTATATTATTATTCAATTGTTTATTTTTTCAATCATACTATTTATATGTTCATTGTATAATGGCAAGTCCGTAAATAAATATATATGTTGTCAATTTGTGTCTGCTCTGCAAGATAATTCAGTGGGAACTGATTTGTAATAATATATTTTTCTTGCATAGCTCTAGTATCTAGAACATTTCTTATTGTTTGTATATTTCCTCTATTGAAATATTAAAAAAAAATCCTTCAAAGTCTCATTTTTCTAAGCACAGCCTTCCACAATCATATTCCTGTGTGTGACTTAGTGTTGCATCATATTTTTTCTCCTTGAATTGTTTGTTGTTATCAAAAGAAGTTCGATAGATATTGTTTTTCAAACTTCCAAGGTTCATATCATTTTTTAGCAGCTGATATGATTTTATGTTTTTCAGGATTGAATATAATACTTGGTGCAGCTGAAGGAGAAATAGTTGCTGATGCTGATGTTCAGAAAGCTGCGTTACGAGTGATAGGCAACTGCGTTTGTGCTCCTATCACAAGGGTAAGCTAAAAATATACCCAAAATCATCCGATGGTTAAACACTTCGATGTTGAGCATTATTCTGAAACTCATTATTGTTATTTTTTTACAAACAGGTCGGTGGTTCGGTCGCGAGATTTTCCGCATCGGCTACCAACTCTCCCAACAAAAAAATGAAGTATAAGAGCTCTGAAGACCTCATTCAAAAGGTGTGGGACTGTGTGAGGTCAAACAGTGGGATCATGGTGTTGTTACAGCTCATGCAGGTCAAGACACCCATCACGGATGCAGACTGTATCAGGACACTCGCTTGCAAAGCTCTTGCTGGTCTAGCCAGATCAGAAACGGTGAGGCAGATTGTCTCTAAGTTGCCGCTATTCACCAGCGGTCAGTTACAGAGTGAGTTTATAACGATGTCTGATAATTGAAATATTCTCAAACTCTCTGTATTCATTCATAGAAAAAGTAAATTAATAATTTTTTTTCCAGACCTGATGCGAGATCCAATATTACAAGAAAAAAGACAAGAACACGTTTTGTTCCAAAAATATGCTTTGGAACTTCTGGAACTCCTCTCTGGCAAAGGCAAACATACTGATACTAATTTGGAGGCATCTTTGGCAAATATTCACAGGGTGAGTTGTCAATGAAATTCAAAAGGATAGCACATTAAAACATTAACAATAGATTTTTATTTTCTTCATTTGCTATGAAGGAAAGTTTTAGAAGAATGTTTCTCTCATTCAAAAAAAACTCATTCATGTTTAAAAATCTCAATAAAACAGCCTTTTGGTACAGTAAATATTGACTTCTGATTTAGATGATTCCATTCTATATGTAATAAAACATCCGTAATGTTTTCAAGTAACACAGATTGTGGGATTTTCACTGAATAGTGTTTATTATGAACACGCCTGAAGAAGCTATTGAATAGTGTAACACGTGTTGCAGTTCTGTGAACTGTTCTGCGAATAAGTGTTGATTGAAGACTTGTATTGTTTTCAAAACTGCATGATATTGTTATAGTTGACTCAAAATGTTCAATGAAAAAAAAATACATCTAGAGTTCACCATATTCTTGATGTATTCGCTTATTACTTATATGTATTCTTCACATTATTCTCCTCAATTATCTCTATTTTAAATTGTTTATTTTAGTGCTTCTACTCATTTACTCATTTTTATGTGCTCGAGTTTACTTTGAGTCTCATTTTTTAATTTTTAGTATTTTCTTTCATTTTTAATTAGTATTATTGTACTATTATAAAAGGGGTAATCCCGTGCAAGAAATAAATAAATAAATAGATAGTCTGTACCCTAACATGATACTAGTGAAAATGAGGATTCTTCAGTCAACCCCGCCTTTTTCATTTCGTCCTGTGGTTACAACCATTCAGCTGTTTTCAAAATTTATAGTCATGAAAATAATTGAGAGATTATGTTCTTTCTCAGGATTGAACAATTATCAATAAGTCATTTTGATTTCATTCATTTTTTTAGGCTAATGTTGTTGCCCAAACCAAAATACAGTTCAACGATAGGCAACTATTGCAACTGATGCACCAACATTTAGTACAAAAAGGCTTCACGGAGACAGCTGGAGTATTAGTGAAGGAGGCAAATCTCAGTAACGCTATAACTTCGGTCAGCTCCCAACACCCTACCAAGTTCAAATACTCTTCCACACTGACACCTTCCAGGGTTAGTGCATAATGATTTCCTAAGAAATGAGAATTCTATTTCTTAATTCTGTAGAATGAAAATATAAAAATAATTTTTCCAGGTTAGGTTATCCTTTTCAGCGCCAAACATTCACAGGCCAATGCCTCCAATTGCTACACCTGATAACACTTCGAGCGTGACCAATGGAACTGCTTCATCTACTACAACAACAAGTACAACACCGGGAATCAAAATCATAAAGTAAGTTACTCTCAATTATAAGATTTCATAGCAATCAATGGATTTCGTTTCAGAAAACACCAACCTCCTCCAGTGACGCCTTCCCAAAGTGCCTCTCGTCTTCAGAAACAAATCAGCGGAGAACCGCACGTCTGGGTAGGACACGAAGATTCCTCAGTTTGTCCAGAGCAGCCCAGAGTCACACTAGATTCTATTATAACTGAATACCTTACTAACCAGCACGCCCTGTGTAAAAACCCTATGGCAACGTGTCCCCAATTCAATCTCTTCATGTAAGCATTGTAAAGATTATCTAATATGCCTCAATTCAAATATTTGCTTTCATACCTCAGAATTCCATTTTGGGGCTTCAACCAATCTCAATCTATGTATTTGTTTTATAACCTTATATCTTTGTAGGCCACATAAATGTCCAGATCCAAAACCAAGAATAACAACGGCCAATAACTATGTCTTGAGGTGCGCAAGAAGACAATTGGGTTACCAGTCGAAAATAATGGACAGAAGGTTTGTCCATTCTAGGTTCTGTCCCATACAAACAATAAGACTTCAGAATGATGAAGGATTTTTTACTTGTGCCAAATTCATGGTAAGAATTACTCAATAATGTTGTGTCCTAAATGGTCTTGGGCTGAGACCATTGTCATTGACTACTTGTAAAACATTATTGAGTTAAATATTATTTTTAGCCTGGAGATAAGACTCTGGTTGTGGGAGACTATAATGGTGAAATCCATTTGTTCAATTTGCACAAAGGCAATGAGATCAATATGTTCACAGCCCACGACAACTACATAGTCCACGTAGAACCAAGTAGAACCGGAGACTTTATGTTGACGAGTTCAACATGGGGAAAACCTGTTTCCGCCATGTGGGATATGAAGACCTTTGAAATGAAGTTGGTAAATTATGGGTGTGATGGATCTAATTTTACTCATTGTACTTTTTTTCAGGATGTCTTTCGATGATGAGGAACACGTAGAATTTGCCAAGGTAACACAGGAGAAAGTTATTGGAACCAAAGGAGAAATTGCTGTGGTGAGTGAACAAATTGAAAAATGTGTTTCTTTTGCATAAAGTGTTTTTTTGAATGTGTGTGTGTTGAAGAACAACCCATAAAAATTGTGAACTGTTTTAGCCACTTTATATATTCAACATATTTAATAGCACTAATGATAATTTTTTTTTCAAAAAAATCCCATCATTTTGTTCATTTTACTAATCAAAATTTAAAAACATACCACCTGTGACTTTCAAAAAGGAATTTTTAGAATACAATGATGTTTAGGAGGTAGGTCAGAGTAATGAATCATAAAGAGCCGTGAATCAGAGGCTATATCAATAAGTCCAAGTCTCACTATCTTTGACTAATCTGTACTCTGTACTATAATTTATGATTTACTCAGTACAATAGTTTACCACAAAATTTAAAAAATGAGTCAAAAAGTACTGCAGGATTCAAACATAATTTGAGTTTGTACCGTTACAGAGAAATAAATGTAGCTCAGTCTTAAATTTACCCTTCTTGTTTGGTTCCGAGCATAACTCCAAGTATTTGTTGTAGCATAGTATTTGTTGGTATTTATGAGATTTCTGTCCAATAGTCAATTGTCCTACTTGAATAAATAAATCAAATCTAAAGAAATGAACTTTAAACCAGTCTCAAGCCAGTCTCGGATATACCTACACAGTAGGTTAAATGGACTGACTCCTATCAGAAAACAACTACTCCCTTGGCTAATACCACAAAGGGCGTTGGATTATATCCGACAGGTGTCAGTGCAGGAATCTTCACAGAAAATGTCCTGCATACGCACTTGGCAATACAACTGAAAGAGTCGACTTTCAATTTTGGAACGGGCAAAATTATATATAACAATAACTATCGTTCAATTATTGTTATTCTTGTTTGTCAGTTTGACTTTTCACCATTGTACTTTTGTAGTTAATGTGATGAAATAAACATATTCTATTCTATTATTTATGAACTCTTATTGAACATGTATTTTGTATCTATCTGTTTCTCAGATATATGATGTGAACACGAAGCAAGCAACACACACCTTGACTCCCAGAATAAGCAACCAATACACGAAAAACAAAGCAACATTCAGTTACAATGACGAGTTGGTACTTTCGGATGGTGTGCTGTTCGACGTCAACTCAGGTCAGTCGATCCACAAGCTTGACAAGCTGAACCAGACGCAGAGCGGCGTTTTCCATCCAAACGGACTTGAGGTGAGTTTTAAGATTTATAGCAACATTTTCTCTGAAATGTAATATATCTTAGCCTCAGCTCACGAAGCCATTTGGCTAAAAACTTTGATTGTTTTATTTAATTTACTGTTTATATAGATTGTCTCTAACACTGAAGTGTGGGACATCCGAACATTCCACTTGCTGAAGACTGTCCCGGCACTAAACCAATGTTCCGTTATGTTCTCTCCTGTTAATACAGCCATTTATGCGATTTCCATGGAACAAGAAATGGATGATGGCGATTCTACATTTGATTCTAGTTTCAAGACTGTTGATGCTATTGACTATTCCAGTATAGGTGAGTTCACAACAAATTATAAAGTCAGTCAACTGTCTGTTATATACATTTTGTATAGATGCTGTCGCAATTTCAATAAATAACATTCTCAAAAATACGTTTAAGTGATATGAACCTCCGGTCATGGCAGGATAACAATCCTTCATAACATTCAATTTTTTCATTGATAATTTTTTTTATTTTGTTTTGGAAATAATTATTGACATACATATTGACAATTACCACTGCCATAAGTGTGGCCATTTTGTTTTTAATTATTTGAGGTATGATATGTAATACTTTTTCAGAAATTTTCTGTATAACTTCATTCTTCAGTCGAAACGAAAATTCAGTATCTGGTTATTTTGGGGGCCTGTCCCTGTATATATTTTTGAGATTTTTTTAGTGTCTTCCAGTTATTATGATTGCTTGGTTTATTGATGTCGTTAAGTTGGAATCATAACCTCACATTATGTATGGCATAACCTCTTAGAATTCAGCTGTCGTTAAATTGGTAGCATAACCTCACATTATGTATCGCATAATCTCACAACTCAAAAACAATTTTTTTGATAACAATCAATACCAGATTCGTACACAAGCTAGGTGTATGCAGGTACTCAAATCTGAAATACCACTCTATCAGACTAATGAAATTCAAAAAATTCAAATCTATCTTGGAAAATACTCAGCACTTTAAGCTTCAACAATGACATACTGTATTTTGATTAAAATTTTGTTTGTTTTAATTCAACTCAACTCCTATTTACTAAACACTACATGCTTTTAGATGTTTTTATTTATATAAATAACATCTTAATAAATTATTCAGACTTGAATGTTGTGTATGTCCTAATTCTATTTATATCATTTTATTAAACATTATACTGATTCTAGATGTTGATATCACTTGTATTTAGCATACTTTTTTATATAATGTTTATTGAAATTTTCCTATGGTTTCAATTATCTTGTACTCGACAAATAGTTGTTTTCACAACTAGTTAACTAGAAACATTTCATATTTCAAAGTGAGTAAATTTTATATCATAATTATAAATTTTGACCTCAAATTGGGAGCGACTGTTCATTGTTCGATGCACTGTATACTGAAAAATTTAAATTGATAGATATCAGAGTTGAAAAAGAAAACATAAAATATGTTTTAACAGAATGGATTTTATGAAATTAACCCAAAATAGTAACATGAGGATTTCACTATTAGTGAATTTCAAAAATGAAAGCATTTTTTCATTAAATAAGTTGTTAGGAGCAGAGGTCACATCGTTTCTTTTTAATTAGTTTGTGGACTTGAATTAAATACGCAAGTTGGTGACATACGTGTATTCTTTCATCATCCCAACCATATGGCAATTTTAGGCTGCCATGGATAGAGATTTTAATACTGTTCACAGGAATTTTCATTGAGAAGTGGGAATTATTTGGTTGATGGTTACTAAAGCTGTACCAAAGTGAGATAAAATTCCTGTTTGTCACACATCAAAGTCGTGTCAATGTTAGGAATGGTTATTTAATTCTTTGTAATGCTATAATTGATGATGAGACTAAATGGCGAGGGTTTGTGAGGGGGGGGTTATTCGGCTTTCCTGAATTGAAATAATTTTCTGTTGGTATCACATCTGATGAGTAAACATTTGAGATACATTAGTCAAGTTGCATAAGATGTCACAATTATCAATGGTGTTTTGATTCTGCCAACTCCTAACCCTTATAAATTGATTAAGTAACAATCTTTGTTCGGGTATGAAGACCGCCGTGGTTTGGAACTGTATCCTAACGTTTCACAGATACGAGTGGCTTGCTTCTTCAGAGGTCTATACATCCTGATGGTTCACCGAAGACTATTTCTAGTTCGTAAGCTGTATTCATGTTGACACAGGTAGCCCGCCTTTCTAGTTGGTGCGATGTTATTGGCCGAAGTGTTATTACCTGTTACATTGCGTTGCACTGCTGCCACCTTAACATCTTTTAGTATGGGATTCCAAATCCGGTTAAGGGTTATCGTCTCCTACAACAGAAAAGATGCTAAGGTGGCAGCAGCGCAACGCAGTGTAACAGGTAATAACACTTCAGCCACTAAAAAACTATACAACATATTTAATGAAAAATTCTGTCATATTTGAAAGCAAACATATTTATAATCACTTGCTCAGTCTCTTTAAAAATATCACAAACTATCCTTTATCTCGAAGAAAATTGAAAAGTGCACTTGTGAAAAAGGTATACTAGCCTTCAGGAATTTTTTGTTGATAATTTGGTATAGCTATGAGAAGCCTCCTATATTGTATTTTATTGTCTTATCTTTTATCCAAACTTTATTCACGTCAGTTTTACTATTCATTTATTTTATTTATTTATTTGAAAATAGAAAATCCTAATATAAATACAAGTCCAAAAAGGTAAAAATGGTATATAAAAAATATTAAAATAGTATAAAAATTCTTTTAACAATAAAATACGTTCAAATAATATATAAATACAAGAAGCTAAAAAGCTAGAAATTGAAATGTGTTCCTGAGAATATTGTCCCATAACACAGAACAAATCAGGAGTATTCAGAATAGTTAGTTCCATATTACAATAATTATACTAGGGCATAAAAGCAATTATTCGGGTGGATAGGTAATGAAATATTTAACATCACAATGTAACACGATGTAACACAATGTATACAGCACATAAAAGCTCGAACCAATAAAACAATCCGATGATGTGAAACATGAAAATTAAAAAAATTCCGAAAATTCATAGAGTATGTGATGTAATATATATTTTCATCTGAGCCTTGAATGAATATAAAGCAACAGAATCTTTAACGTGGTATGGTAATTGGTCAAAATCATTCAATCCTCTGAAAAACAACGATTTCATAGACTGCTTTGTTCTTGTCCTGGAAATGTGGTATTGATTGATAGTTTTTGTGTTGTAGTCATGAATTTGATTATTGTACTAATGAAGGAATCAAAATATTTTGGTAATAAATTTCTGTTTATTTTATAGGTATATGTTCACTGAATAACAACTCCCAACTAACTGGTAGTTATTAATGCTTTGTCAAAAAGATTCAGTCTTCGACAATAAAGTATATTTTAATTAATTGATTGATTGATTGAGATACAGAATAAACAGTATTGTTGAGACTCGTTTCGAAGTGATCGCTGCTCTTGGCCATAAGACGTGTATTGCTTTTTTTTTAGACAATAATCACAAGTGCAAACCCAATTCCCAATGAAAGTACACTTCGGAAAGTCAAACTCCATCGTGAACTGTCTTAAAAATTGTCAGTTTGTTTGTTTATTTTATAGCTACAATCGATGTCAAGAAGAGTATCTATGATCTTGCCATTGATGGCTTTGACACCCAAATAGCCATAGTGGAAAACCAAGGAATGTACAGCTCCGTGCAAGAATCCGTCGTTCGCGTCTATGATGTCGGACGAAGAAGAGACGATGAGGATGAACAGGTACAATCATTTCAATTCTACAGTTACAGTAGTAGCACTGATAGCTTTAAAAGGATGCTTTGGTATGTCGAAGACCTGATGTCATCTCTGAACTTTGATTATTGATTATTGAACTTTGATTATTGAGTGTTGTTTTTTCTATTGTTTTTTCAAATTATGTTTCAGATGCTTTAATATATTATTTATTTTGCGAGCTTTTTTTTATTTATTGTTTTGTCGAAAATCCAAATTTATGTTGTTTCCACAAAGCTGAAATTACTGCCAGAAATTTAGACATAAATTCAGATTAATGGTAGGGTTAAATTGTAATTTTATTCTTGTCATCCAAACGCAAATTGTAAGTATTTTAAAGTCATAATGAATATGATCTAAGGTGGTGTAGGGTGTGAGGGCACACTAATTAAACAAGAATATTTTCCAGAAAAAGACATCAAACTCGTAATTTTTCAAATAAAGATATAAAGTAGATTCAGTGTTGTAATATGAGGAAGTTATTCAAATAAGTATAAAAAATGTCAGTTTCATGTTAACTGAAAAAATAAAAATTGGGTGGTGCTCTTTTAAACTTCTAATTCATATTTGAAATTTTATTGACTTTTACAGAATTTGTAGATTAAATATGAATCTGATGGCATAACAATTGGGAAGCTTTTAGGTTTTTTACATTTCTAGCATTGTTTCTGTCATTAATCTTATGTTCAATTATTTTCTGCTATGTAGTAGTACATAGTAAATGAAAATCATAAAAAATGTATAAGGAAAAATAGTCAAGTTTTTTTAAACCATGAAGACATAGGATTTTCTCTGAAGGATTTATTGATCTATTGTTTTTTTCAATAGGAAGAAGAAGAGGAAGAGGACGACATGGACGGAAGTGATGATGATAATTCAGACAACGATGGTGAGTTCTTCGATCCTATTGTGAGCAATATTTATGTAAAAACATTGGAATGAGAAAATTGGCTTGTGACCAACAGATTGATTTTTTTTTCTGCAAAGGATTTGCAGAAAAAAAGATAATGATCTGATTCTATTTTATTCTGAAAACAAACAAGAAAAACAAATAAGAAACAATATCATAAATGTTTTCTACGAGTTCAGTGATAGTGGTATTAGGGTGGGTTGATATTAGAAACAAAATCAAATCCATTAGAAAGTAGAAGAAATTGTATTTTCATTTTTAACAGATGGCGACAACAATGATAACAATGACAACAATGATGATGACAATGATGATGATGGAGATGATAATGGTAGTGAATCTGAAACCTGGACCAGTCTATCAAGTGGAAACGACAGCTCAATCGGTACGGATTCCTTGCTGGGAGACCTTCTGTTCGAATACTGAGATTCTGAAATGGAATTTTTGCAGCGAATCCAAAAGAAAGGGCATTTTAAATAAGTGTGGTGTTTAAACGTTGATACTAGGAATTTGTGAGCTACTGATGTGACTGAGTTTTTAAAGAATGGTTCGTAACTAAAAGTTATGAAGTTTTATATTGTGTAGGCTATTGAAGCTTAAAATTTCTGGGACTTTGTACATAGTGCTAATTTTAAGGGTTGAACTGTGAAGAAAGAACAAGTTATTCGTAATATAGTTTTGACAGCGAATAAATTATTTATAATATATGTTTTCGTTTTATTCAGACTTGTTTTGTCAAAAAACGTGAGATAAAAAATATTTCAAAGAATTTACAACAGAACCTATGAACATCAGCTTTAGTTCATTTTTGAAAGAGGTGCAGTAAGAAAAGCTCACAGGTAACAGCATTTTTTATCAATCTTTAAAATTTAAGTCTAAATTTGTTTTTTTTTATATAAAGAGTTTTATTTTTCTATGTGTAAGTTTGGGTATGTGTACAGTGTGTGTTGCATTGAGCTTCTATTACAAGTTTTAAATGATGAGGTGAAGGTTTCAAAAAGTATTATAAAAGTTGCACATTTCAATGCATTGGGCTTTAAGATATTTTCCTCGATAAATAAGATACATAGTAGAAACGTGGATCAAGTGGATTATTCTATGTTGGTTTTCTTACTGGGATTTCGTCAAAAAAATAATTTTGAAAAATGATAGACTACATGGTTATGTGACGACCGGATGAAATATTGAACTGAAGTTACTGCCAGCTCAGTTCAGAGAAGCCCTAAGTAAAATAACTTGTAAATCTTGAATTTGTGAGACAGATTAACTTGAACGATAGGCAATGTGAGTAAATGCAGTACTGACAATTGACAAAAAAGCATGTCGAGAATAATAATGTAGAGTGCCTTTTAATTGGTTATCTACCTGTTGACCTTTGTATCAACATTTGAAAAAACTTGTTTACTGAACTTGTGATGCACTGTTTCGAACCTTTGGGGTAGTAATGAATATTACTGGAGTTTTTTCCCAACACCAAACGGTTATTTTAACACCTCGACATGTATTTTGATCACCAAGTTATCATCTTCAAGAGGAAGATTACACTAAATATACTTACAATGTTATCCTTATTTATACCACAGATATCTCTTCTAGGTACCTACATCTCAAGTGTCTTAAAATCAGTCATACACTCAGAGCCTTTTAGGAAATCCAAAAGACAAAATCGAGAATTTGAAAAAGTCTGAAATTTATTAAATTAAATGTAAGGTCTGCGATGCAAATTATGATGGACAGACAAAAAGGTCTATTAAAATAAAGTATATGGAACACTTGGCACACCTAAAATAAGGAAGACCAGAAAAATCAGCAGTCGCTCATCTCATTTTGCAACAAAACCATTTCATAGACTTCAGTTCATTAAGATTAGTTAGACAAGTTAACAACAACAGACAACTAGATGCCTATGAGAGTGTAGAAATAAGTAAACATAATAATATTATGAATATAACGAAGGTGGACCAATACCTAATGGTATACTATATAGCTTGTTGAAATAATATTGTAATTATTAGATTTACCTAACTATTACATAAGGACACATTGTAAAATTAATTTAAGACTAATAGATAAGGCCATATTGTGAAATTTATTTAAGACGCTCAAGACGCAGGTATCTAGAAGAGGTATCTATGGTATAAATAAGGATAACGTTGTAAGTATATTTAGTTTATTCTTCCTCCTGAAGATGTTCACTTGATGATCGAAATACGTGTCGAGGTGTTAAAATAACGGTTTGGTGTTGGGAAAAAACTCCAGTAATGTTGTTTACTGAATGTGAAAATTTTCTACAAGTTTCAGTATTCACCTTTCTCCTATTATCCCCTTACAAAAATCAACTGCTAAATATGAGTCGGTTATTTTCTGTAATGGGAGAAAGATGGATACATATCTAAAAATTCAACAAATAATCTACAAGTAATCCCCTAGGTTTCTCCATAACATATGGAGTCGTTCATTTTATGATAAGGCATTTTTTGAGATTTCTCACTATTTTGAACTGTTCTCCGAATTCCATGAAATCAAAATATTGTAAAAATGTTGATCACGTACCTCAACCTCAAATTAGTAAAGGAAAGAGGAGGGAATGCAAAAGAAACAATATAAAATGATTTTTTACAATAATTTATTAGAATTCTTATGGTAAATATCCGAAGATTATAAAAAATATGTACAAAAATTCTATATGGTAAATAGAAACAGGCATTCTTAGTATATTATGGCTCATTTCCTAAAACTAATAAGTTACAGTATGGCAGTCATACTACATCTAGCTATGTTCCCTGCCTTCCGTAGAGACAATCCTTAATTTGATTTCTAATATAAATTGTTAAGGAATAATGGTCTGGTATATTGACCATTCTGTGATGGATATTTCACGTTAAAATGTGTAGCTTCAACTACAGTGTTCAAAATTATGACTAGATTTTTTAGCCAATTTTTGATTAATTAAATTTATCATGTTCATAAATTGTTTAAAACAGGTTAAATAAACTAATTATCATTGTCTTTACTCAGAATTCAGTTAGCAATATAACTCTTCATTTGCAAAGAGAAGAGAAGAAGTCAATAGTAATACTTTTTTGCCAATAACCCCATGATCAAAGTAGTCCATAGTTGCCAGCTATAACTGGCCGCTATAAAAGTGTATTAATTATACCGCAATTATCATATAAGGAAAATCTATCATCAATCACTTGTAAATTCAATATACATAATATTTTAATAAAATATTAAAAATCGTTATTAGAACTAACCCTTTGAAAATTGTGTTACAAAGTGTTTGAAATTTTGCTACAAAACGTCAATACTCATCACACGACCGCTGTGTTAATGTTGAAAAAAAAAAAAATGAGTATTGGTATGGCCTTCATATTCCTAAATTATCATAAGGTTAGGTAAGTGACGCCTGCTCAAAAGTTATGAAAGTACATAATATTGAAATAAGTCAGAATTCCAAGTTCAGAGTCTAAACTCCAAATTTTGAAATAGATATCCCGAGTTTGATGTCTGAATTCAAAATATAAAAGTAGATTTCGACTTCTAAATTCGGAATTCTGATGTTCATCGCAATTCTGAATCATAATTCCAAAGTTCTGAGTTACAGTTCGCAGTTTACAAGTGACAATACCTAGTTTAAAAGTACCACTTCCTAGTTCTTAGTTGAAAATCACATTTGTAGTTCAAGAGTTGGAATTTTAGGTTTGTGGTTAGAATTCAGGGTTCAAAAAATTCAGATTACAAAACTCGAAATTAAGATCCCAAAAGTCGAAACTCCAAACGCGAAGTTGAAATGAAAATGCGTGTGTAGGAGGGTGCTTGTAATCTTCTGTAGGTAATTGACGTATTCGAACCAATCCTTTTGAACATTCCCCACTAATAGTGACTTATGATATAATTGATCCATCCGACGTAATTGTAGACCGTTGTGTAGATGCCGTATTTGTTCCTCCTGCCGCAGCCGTCCCCGAAGCTTGTGATGCCCTGCACACTGTAGACGATCCTCTTATACCTCCTCGAGGGGCAGATCAAGCCGCCGCCGCTGTCCCCCGCGCAGGTGTCTGCCCTTCCCGAGGCCCACCCTGCGCACAGCATGTTATCGCTGATGAGGAACCGCCGGTAGGACTTTCTACAGGTATCGGGGTGGACGATGGGAAGCTGGAATCAAACACCATCAAAATATGAGATAAAATCATGCGAATCTGTGATAGTACTGTCTCTCTGGGGAGAGGATACACAAGGAATTGGTTTGGGGAAGGATTAATCTTCTTTCTACTATTGTTAAGAACTATTTCTTGCTTAAAAATCAGTTTAATCTCAAACTGTATTGTCCAACCCCTTTTTTTGTTGCCATATACTTCTTCTCTTTGACGATTTTCTTTCTTCCATTCCCATCTTTCGGGTTTTTTCTCATACTCCTATAAGTAATTCGCTATCTGTCATCGATGTATTTTGAATGGCAGATCTACAATAAGATTAATACGTGCAAAACACACCTGAAAACACTATTGCCTCTCTTGTTTAAAATTTTTCGGTTAATAGTGTGATCAGATGTCGCTCAGTGAAATTATACTATTGACTGGAAGTGCTGTGAAGTCCACGTTTTAGATTCTTCATTACGCTCAAAAATAGTGATGATACAATGGATACAAGTCCAATTATCATCATCTATTCTCTCAACATTTTTGTGCCAGAAATAACAAGTTGTCATTCTTTTTATATAATGTTAATCTCCAATATGGTTACCATAACAAAGATCTACCGGAGATAGTCCAATCAATGAGTGGAATTCTTCAGAAGTTGTACCAAGCAAATTTCTTTTTTATTCAAGTGACTTCAAGTACCTATATATCAGTTTGAATTTTTTTTATCCGCTTGAGGTTAGTGACGGAGTGACACCTTGCTAAAGCATTTATTTCTATCGGTCTCCCTAGCTCTAACTATGACTTGCTATGTCCCATTATGGACACATTTTGTTTTTGTAGTGTGAGTAATATCTGAGATTTTTCTGTGTAAAAGTGGAGAGTCAATTTTGAGAAAGTAGTTTTCCATCCTTTCTATAATTTTGTTAGGTTATTTGCTGATATTAACGAAAGAATGCTGTAACTTCTACTTGAAGTTCGATTGTTTGGTGTTCCAGTTTTCAAACACGATGAACACTATGAAACAAAATTAAATAACTTAAAGAGGGAAAATAGGAACACTGTTGATGATCCTCCAAAAAATGGTCTTCAACAAAGCTATAGGGGTGTATATAATGTAGATTGAATCCTGACAGGATAATTTGGAAAAGGTGGAAATACTACGAGGGTATATAGGTACGGCCCCGTCCATTTCTAATGTAAGTCAAAATATTATACCATAATTCTCCATAATAAGTGTTTTATCAAATGATTAACACAGCTAGACATACAGAAAAAAATGTACACTCACCTTAGCCTCTTGCAAAAGATTCGTCCCATACACGTCCATCGGATGGATCTTGCCCCATCCCATCACGGAGCACAGCTCCCTCGTTCGCGGCATCTTGTTGGGCAGACAAGCAACCGGCGTCCGCACAGCTTTAGGGAGCATCAGCAAAGCGATGTCGTTGTCTACCGTCCGAAAATTGAATTTCGGGTGCGGAAACATCTTGCTGACGGTCATCTCGACGTCGCGTCCGTCGTGAGATCGCAAATCGTGGGCGTTGAGACGGACCCTGAGGTACCTCCGGATGCAGTGGTTGGCAGTCAACACCCACCGAGAGGCGATGAGGGTGCCACCGCAGAAGACCTCCTTGATGAAACAAACGACGGTAAAGTTAACTACAGGTTTTGAAAGTTATAATGTAAAATTGTAATATTCAACAACAATTTCATGTTAAAAGGCAATATACTTTTGTATAGTTAATGGAGAAAATTAAATTTATTGTATTTAAACATCGAGTATCGGCTAATTCTATCACATAGAATTTGATCTAGTGATACACAAATTTTATTTACAATTCAAGATATTTTTTATTTTATGACAGGTTACCACAAATTTCACGCTATTAACTTTTGAAATTTCTATTCAAACTAGATCCAAATCATACTGACAAAGTAAAACAATCAGTAAATTTAAAATAATTTACACGAGTTATCCGAACTATATGCTTAGACAATTTCTTATCTAGAGATCGGTATCAACTTCGATAAGAAAAGTTGATTAGGTACTGATAAAAGTTTTAATTTTTCGCAATGGTAAGAACCTCATAAATTATTCATAACTATATTTTTTGAAAACATCCAAAAATTTAAATATTCATTTATGACAGGCATAAAGAGCGTCATTATTTATGTGTACATGATTATTATTATCAGAGATATTCCTCAGTTTAATATACCAAATTCGTAAAACTTTATTTTGCTGTAATTAAACATGAAAGGCTTTAGACTGAAGAAAGCACACTGATAACCTGCAAATTAACTTACCATATACTGGTTGAGTATAGCCACGTGCCAAGGCCATTTGTACCTTTGAGCTTCCGTACCACCTATGATTTTCAACATTTTCATTCTCCTGTTGGGCATTCCGCATTTTTTTCGCCCGTTTCCCCTTCTCCTTGGCTGCCTCACGGTGCTCTCATCATTATTGTTATACTCGTATCTTCTCTGATCTGAAATGAAATATAATAATAATAATGAAGTATACTTCATTGTCCTAGGATACAACAAAATCTTAAAAGAGCTTAACATAGAACACAACAAAAATATATAATGAACACGGAGAACAATGGATGTTAGGTACAATAAAAATAGGAATAATTGTATAAAAACATACAAAACTAATCTATAAATACACCCAAATATATATATATATTCAAGAA